TTTTTTGTATTGCATAAAATAATATTTAATGCTCTTAATTTTACTATAAATATGCATATTTATCTCTTAATATTTATTCAAATGGCACACAGAAATCTCAAACACACAAAACAACAATGCTTTTTTTTTACTTACTTCACTAGTTGATTTGCTTCAAATTAATTATAAATCATTATTACACGGATCGAAAAACTTAAAATAATACAGTTTTATACAATTAATTTAACACTTTCATTTTACAAATACATATGTTTGATTTATCCGTGTTATCCGAAAAATTCTAAAAACCATCTAGAAGGATATGAAAAGAATCGAAAAAATATTTATAATTGAAACTATATATAAACAGTAGATATGTACATACTTAATATAAAATAACATATTTAAAAGCAAACATACGAGCATGCTGAGGTACATTCGCAGGCACAGTAGTATCATACATACATACACTTATGTACAGGCAATATATAGACGCTGTTGGCGAGATAGCAGTATAGTTGAGAAGAAACGGGCATGCATTCGTTACAAAAATATGTAAATACATACATACATATGCAGAGTTGGAGAGCGTAGAAATTATACACAGTGCTCCTGAACCAATTTCAGGTTGACTTCGATAACCCAAAACCGTCTTCCGTTAAATCGCAGCTAACTTTTTTCTCGTTATATTGATATGCTTTCCTAATGTGACCAACTATTTCATAGCTCAAAGAAGTACAAGTTAGGTTAAGTTAAGTTAACGCCGCGAGCCGATTACGAAATTTCGAATGCGGCTAATTTCGATCCCTGAGAGCGCAGTGTTTGTTCAGAAACGCGAGCCAAAATGCTTCCATATTAGCCTCGCGAAGGTTGGACAGTCTAAAAGAAAGTATGGAGATGATTCCACTTCATATTCCTCTTGACAGCTGATAGAAAAGAATTAGCCGAAATTCGTAGTCTCACCGCATGAATACCAATCGCACAATGGCATATCAGAACCCCCACCACTAGCCCTTGAGAGGTAACGTGTGCAGAGAAGCGTCTTCTTTTCCTTTTTTATGTAACAAAAGGACACGGTTTCCCTTAGCCTAATAGCAGTTCGTTCTGCGACAATTCTGTCTGCAATTTCCGCCGGCGCCGTGTTCAACATACGTATGTTAAGCGCCAGTGTAGGTGTGGTTCCTAATGCTCCGCTAATTCCTGTTTTAAAAGTGTAGCCCTTTCTAGTGAGTTCCACCAGACAAGGGCTCCTTGAAATAATATAGGTTTAAATCTGGTTTCCTAGAGCTAATGAATTAATTTGGGCGAGATACCCCACCTTTTACTGATAGCTCCCCTTTAGCAGTGCAAGGCAACCGACCCATTCCTCAATGTTAGGTTTTATACGACAGCCGTCGTTGATCGCCCACCTAGTACAGGTAACCTTGAGCCAGATCAAAAACGGTGTATATAAATCGTCCCTTAACCAAAAGTTCCACATCATCTACATAGGCGATCACCCGACAGCTCACTTTTTCCAGTTCCACTAGAAGGTCGTTTACAACCGCAATCCAGAGCAGGGGAGAGAGAACGCCACTTTGTGGAGTGCTCCTATTAACTCTGTCCTATGTGCAGACGCTCCCCCACTACGCCGCGACAGCTCTGTCACGAAGTAAGCTTATTAGGTTGGTTTCAACCCCCAGATTATGAATATACTTGACTATTGCCTCTCGAGTGACATTGCTGAAGGCCCTCTCGATATCGGAGAAGGCTTCAACTGCATAATCTTCATGCGTGAAGGCATCCTCTGACCACTTTACCAATGTGGGCGGTATTCACCGACCTTTTCTTGCAATAAGCATATATAAGCCCTTGACTGACAGTCACGAGGAATCGCGTTTCTTATGTACAGGTACAGGTCTCTCTAGCGTTTTTATCAAACACGAAGAGAGTGATAGGCCTAAAATCCCTAGGGGAAACATGAGAGCCTTTTCCGCCCTTCGGGATGAACGCAACACTGACTACCCTTCAAGCCGTGGTGATGTACCCGGTCCCCACGCTGTTCGCATAAATAGGATCCAACCAATTGCACGTCACCTTCAGAGCCCTTTGCAGCTGCGCAGGTATGATGCCATTGGTCCCCGACGACTTTAATGGTTTAAACAGGACCGGGGGAGATTCCCCTAATGAGTTAGCGACAATTTTCGAATTATCGCACTCTTTGACGCAAAAGCATATATATCATGCGTAAAAAAGTGCGATAGCGATCCGAAAATTGTCACTAACTGGTTACAGAATCTCCCTCCAGAAGTACAAAATATCGAAAAGAAGTACTTTTCACTGTACTACGAAGTACGAAGTACAAGAGCGAAAAAAGAAGTACTGTACTTCCGAAAGAAGTACGGTTGGTCACATTATGCATTCCTTATATATTTTTATCTTGTGGTCTAAATAACATATTCGTACATACATATGTATTTACATGAAGTTTTATTGCTGTAGGATGCCCATAACCCGTGCCGACTTGAAGTTTAAGTTTCGGTCAAGAGGATCCCAGATCCCTGCTACACGGTACATTCTTTTTTTTACCCGTGAGCTTAAACGTAGTAAAACTGCGTTTTTAGCTTTTCAGGGATGGCCGGGCTATGTTAGACGGTCTGCTACAGTCAGAAGATCACTTGGGCATTTCATAGAGCCAGGGCACATTAGTTTAGATGGTCTGCTCTTATCAAGAATTCACCATGGGATCTCATAACCCAGGAGAGAATATTTTCTAGAAACTTATCCCTACATGTCCTTAAATCATTGTCGTTTTTTTAAAGAATGCAGACTGTCCCATCAGTGAAACGGTGCCTAAGCTATCCAGACCTCGCAGAAATGGTTCCCCAGAAATAACGTTTGTTCGTAGTGCGAGACATTTGAACTACTTAATTTGAAGTACTTGACAGGTTCACCTCTTCCTTTTACTACTTAGTAGCTACTCTGGAACTTTGAGATCAGCGAGTTCCTGTATGCCCGGCTACACTCAGTCTCTCCTTCACGGCAGCCTTACTTTATATAAAATAATTAAACTTTTGAGCGTACCAGATCCACCAAGCTTGCCAATTTTGTATAGACCTCAGCTATTAAAAACATTGTAGGGGTTTAAAAGTCTGTAAACCAGATTGGAATCTCTTCTTTACACGAAAGAGAGTTAGATTCTCTGTTTCTTCTGTTGGGAGGTTTGATGTTCTGACCAAAGCCTCCGTGATCTGTTAATCCTGTCTCTCCCTCTCTTTAGCCGCAACACTGTTTGAGCCAGCCGGTTAGACGCCCTAAGGTGTGGATATTGTAGCAGACTTAATTCCTATCTATCCTGGCTTGGCCCTGATTGATAGACTAGTCGATTAAGGCAGCGTTTAATAAGGCCGCCACATCAATAACGACACAACGAGTGAATTGCTCCCTTTAACAAACATTTTTATCTTGATTGCGCCCATTCCGAAATACAATTTGAAGGTCCCGAATCCGCTCATCCCGATATCTATCATAAATAAAGATTATTTTCCCGTCCCACCCGCAAATTTTTAGAGACCTACCCGATACCGCCGATCCCGGCCACTATAAAATTAGTACCGTGGGTCCTACGGGTCCCGGTATCCCGCGCTCAGCTCTAGCAAAGTAAATTTGTTTATTGGATTTCGTAAACCTCCTGGACCACTCGAATGGATATATTTTGAAAAGACTTTAACCATCGTCAGTCATAACTTTGTTAAATGTAGTTGTGGAATACTTCAAGTAAAAGATCAGCACCGATTTCACGGAAAGTAGTTTTGGAGACTATGAACAGTTATACAAAATACTATGAGAACAGTTTCGTGGTCCGTTTTAATCGAACCTTTTGAGGAATCGGGGGCACTGTGATTACAAGTTTATGAATATAAATTACTTAGAAAGGCGAATCCAATTAGATGTTCAAAATGTGCGAATAGCGCGAAGAGAATGTAAAACAGATTTAAGTCAGCCCACAGCATTCGGGTTCTACTTAAATTACATAAAAACTCACATTCCCCATTTTGTTGTTAGTTTTAAAATTGAAAATTGGGAAAATTAAGATTTGCATTAAATTTAGAATTTTCGCGTTGCTTATTCAAATACCTCGCTAGTCCCACCGTGGGTGCATTACAGCGCGTTATGCGCGCTCGTGGTAAATTTCGCTCATCTTCATCATCATCCTTCGCTTCCGGCTCTACAGCGAGTGTGTAGCCCGGCCGGCATACACATTTCGCTTTAGTACCCAAAAATCGTTGTATTTGTGGACCAATTGTTTGGGTTTTTAGCGGCGCCAACCATTGGCCCGGCCCGCATGGCCCCCGCGTATATAACTTGTAACAATTCCCATTAATCTCCACCATGCCCGGTGTGGATTCGCATGTATTGTCCTCCTCTTCTGTGCCACCATTATCAACATTCGAACACTGCTGATCGAGATTCCATATGACACCAGAGCAACCGCATATGCCGTTGTATGAGATGCCATCGACGGAGGGACGTGCGGTGAAATCGAATACCACTACCTGATGCAGGGAGCAAGGACCTTGCGAGCCAATGCGATAGCAAGTATTCTGATCGGGAAAATAAAGTCGAGTTTTACCGCAAAAATTTCGTACACAACTGGTAGCATTAATTAGAAACTCGTTAGGTCCACACGGACCTCTGGTATAAAGGCGATAGCACAGGCCATCCTTCCAAGGCACGTAACCATCCTTGCATTGGCATTGCGCGCGGGGTATATCCGCCGCTGTATTGGCGACGGTGAAATTATCAGGCAGATTGAAGATATGGCCAGACGGGCAAGGTCCTGGCGTGTCTGCGAATATGCAATGCAAATGTTAACGCAACTGCGTAGT